CGTACGTTGAAAAGCCATTATCGAGTCCCATTATTCGCGCAGCTAAATGGCTTCGTTTCGGATCGTCCCCCCCTCCCCCCCCTCCCCCCCGCTATCTGACGACGATTCGATACCTGCGAAATACCGGCCGAGGAAATTTCGCGTTCTCCGAATCGTTAAGCTTCGCCCTCCCCAACTCTAAATTCCGGCTCTGTCAATTTCACGATATCGGCGGACATTAACGGGGCGCAGCGTTCCTAGAGAGAGAGAGAAAGAGAGAGAGGTGAGTCAAGGTTTAATTAAAATTCAACGGTATCGTTGCGCGGAAACATCGATATTTTATCGTTTTCATGATCGTCCCAAAATTCCCTCCTCCCTTCCAAAAAATTTCCTCGCTCGTTCGAAAGATCGAAATCGGACGGGAAAGGAAAAAAATTGGAGGTAGAAAGAATCGATCTTAACTTGCTTAACTCGAGAGCCTCAGGACCTCCCTCTCAAAAGATCCGTATCCACTTGTCCACTTAATTTCGCGGATAAATTGGATGCGATGCTCGGAGAAGAGATTAAATTCGAGGCGGCAAAATGTTGCGAGGGGAGGAGGCGCGTTGGCGCGTGGCAGCCAAGTGGATGACTGATGGCCCGTAACGAGCGTCGTCATTTTCCATGAGCGTGGAAAAAGTAGCGCCGGTTTAATCAAACCAAGCGACCCGCGATGGCGCGCGTCGCACAACGTCGTCCGTTCGTTCGCAAACGTCGGGGCGAATATTTTGATCGGAGAGAAAAAAAAAAAAAAAAAAAAAAAAAAAAGAAAAACAGCGCGTGGAAACGCGGCGCAATCTTTCTCGAATTTACGAGCGGCGAACGGGCGGCGACCAAGAGTCGCGAGAGAAGGGGGGGGGGGGGGGGGCGAGACTCAATTAAGGGAGAGCTGTGCACGTTGTGCGTTACCGTTGGCTTTTTATGGCGCCGTTTCCTTAATGAAGCGCGGCCGAGAGAGACACGAGTCGTTAAAACATTGCTTTAAAATCCGCGCTTACACGAGTATCTTCTTTAAAGCTTTTTTCCCTTTTTTTTCTTTTTTCGTTCGTTCGGGCATACAAGGTATTAGTATTTCCGTATCAGTTTCGTAAGAAGAATTTTTAAATCGAGGGAAAGTTCTGGATACGAACAAAAATATCGAGATCTTTCGATACGATCTTGTGTCTTGTTGATACTTTCATTCGGCTTAATCTTTCTCTCGTGGACAGGAATGATCCGATTCCAGAAACCATTGAAACCATCTTCCGTCTACTCGGAGATCATTTCTCGTCTCGTTGTGTTAGGCTTTGCGAAAGAAGTTCGATATCCGTGCTCTCGGAGCTATTTAATCTCGATACGACGCTGATTAAAAAAAAAAAAATTGTACCATTTTAACGAAAAATCGCAATATCAGGAATGATTCTTCCTTATCGACAGTTTCAATTTTCCCGCTAATCTCTCGACCGATTTCCAACGATTTCCGCTTCCTCGAGATCATTTCGTCTCGTTGTTAAGCTTTGGTAAAGAAACACGACATCTAGGTGCTCAGATCTAGTTAATTTAATCCTTTTTGCGACGCTACAATTTTGATTAAAAAAAAAAAATCAATATCAAAAATAATTCTTTCTTATCGATGGAACATTTTCAATTTTTTCGCCAATCGTTTGATTTTTAATGATTTCCGCTTCCTCGAGATCATTTCGTCTCGTTGTTAAGTTTTGCCAAAGAATCCGTGCTTGATTTAAAAAAAGAAAAAAAATCGCAATATCAAAAATGATTCTTCCTTATCGATGGAACAGTTTCAATTTTTCCGCTAATCCTTTGACCGATTTCCAACGATTTCCGCTTCCTCGAGATTATTTCGTCTCGTTGTTAAGCTTTGCCAAAGAATCCGTGCTTGATTTAAAAAAAGAAAAAAAATCGCAATATCAAAAATGATTCTTCCTTATCGATGGAACAGTTTCAATTTTTCCGCTGTTGATTTTTTGATCGGTTTCCAACGGATCCAAGTCCATATAGGATCTGCGGGACACGTAGCCCGGTCCAGTTCCGGGGAGGCACGTATCCACCATTCCCGATCGGATAACGCGTGTTCCATCGAGTCGAGATCCCCGAAAATCTCACAAAGCGGTACCAAGACCAAGATATCAATCGGATTCAATCCGTTGGTGGATGGAGAGAGGAGAGGAGAGGAGGATTCTGGCTGGCTATATCGAACAGATTCATCGGCACACGTTGCAGAATTCATATCGCGAAGTGGCCCCTCGTGCAGACCGATTGTTCCAAGTCTGTCCGTGCCTGCTGCATCCCTTTTCTCTCTCTCTCTCTCTCTCTCTCTCTGTCTCTTTTCTTTTCTTTTCTTTTCATCTCCATCACGGTTATGATGATACCAGAGTGGGAAGCGTGGTACTGGTTTCTGCGACCCACGATGTATTTTTCGCGACAAAGGGGAGACGTTTCGCGGGGAGAAAAAAGAGAAAAAAAGAAAAAAGAAAAAGAGGGGAGGATAGAAAATCCGAAATTCTGCGCGTCTGTTTCACGTTCAGCGTGTTCGCAACAAGAAGAACAATTACGACAAGCGCGAAACCAAAGAAGGCAAAGGAGGAAAAAGAAGAAAATCTGAACTTTGGTACGTGTCAACAACAAGAACAATTATAATAACCGCGAAACTTTATCCATAGAAGATTCGTATCGCATCAAACCGATTCGAAACTTCTCTCTCTGTCTTCGCTTGTGAAATGACGAGTCTCTCTCTCTCTCTCTCTCTCTTTCTCTCGATGACACTTGGCTCGTTGTTTATGTTCGAGAAAGTTAAGGGAACGAAACTGTGTCAGCCGCGAATATTGCAAGTTGCCACATATATACCCATCATCGTAATCGAAACTTTGGATCCGTGCACGTACACGCGGCAATTTCGTCTCGTTTCATTCCGTTGTTATCGATCCGTCTACAATCTATATAATTGCATTTCTTCGAAATAACTTTTACTCGTTGTTTATTTATTTTGTTTATTTATTTATTCGTTCGTTCGATCGAATTCGAATTGGAACGAATTCGGCGAGAAAAATCCTCTTTTTCCTCTTATCGATAGATACACCTTTCGCTTGGCGCCAGCCTCGACGAATCGAATCGAATCCGATAGAAGGGAAGCTCCGCGGGGGGCGTTAAGACGAGTGATGACTGCATTTCGTGTGCCAAGACGGTCATTTGCAATAAAGCATCGCGCCACTGCGGCGAATCTTCGATATCCAATCGATAAAATCGTACGTCGGTATCGAGACTCGTGGCGCGCTCTTGGCATCGAAACTATCAAACACATAGTTGCCACGTCGAAAAATGCCACGCGCAGCGATCGTTCCATACATATATTATCGTCCCTTTTCATAATAGCAACGGGTATAAAAATTCGAAACGTCAAGTTTTTTGAAACAATTTGGGCCAACGTCAAGTCGCAAACATTCGAAAACATTCCGGAGTCGTTGGAAGGAAGACACGATTCGCCTCGTTTGTTCTCTAATTGCGCGTGTTATTAAGGGGGATCCTCGTAGAACTCATTTTTTGCTGCCCTCTGTTTAAACGAACTCCGTTTAAACGAGGGGTTGTTTACTTGTTCGCACTGGATCCAAGAAACGTTGACGAAAATACACGTGAAAATTAAAATTAAATTACGTGTATAATATAATCGAATGCGTATTCTAAACTTCCGTTATCCATCCTTCTTTAAAGTTACAGTTGATCGTTCCGACCGATTGATTACAATTTTATAATTTTACAATCCCTTTGCCACCTTACTTTACCCGTAATATTTCAACGCCTTGAACGTAACACGCAACGAAATTGCAATGATGAATGGCCCAAAGATAAGCGAAATATCTCAAGTGGCTAAGCAAAGGAATCGTGGAACAAAGCGGTGTTGACGATGTTAACGTATTTCGCGCCATATAGGGAGGCGCGACAGCTCGTTAAACGTAACCGTAAGATAAATGGATGCACTCGTTAAATAATAGGCATACGAGGGATTCTCTCGTAGAAATGTGAAGACACGGAACAAGAGATTTCGTATATAGGCGAGATTAGCGCGTGGTTGCGCACATCACGTCGTTCGTACGCGAATTATATGCGACTGCACGTGCTACTGAACCCGTGACACTGAAAAGCGCGATATTGTGTCTTGATGCATGCGCGCGTTTATATCGCGAAAGCCAATTCGCGCGACGCGTCGAGAGGCTTCCCCCTCCCATCTCACGGTTACACGCTTCCCCCTCCTCCTTCTCCACCATTCGCGATATTTCACCATCAAATAAAACGCGATAAAGATAGGACGCGCCCTTTGGAACGAATGGAAGATTGAAACTTGAAAATTATTTTCAAGGGAGATAAAATCTCCGATCTGAAATCCGAATTAACAATTAATTAACCAATCAACGATCGCGTCCGTTTTTTCTTAATTTTTAAAATCTGGCGAATAATCGTATCGCATCGCATCGCGTTGTAAAATCTTTCTCCCTGATTAATTTCCTGTAATTTCCTCGCACGAGGAGCGAGAAACAATATATTGGAGAGTTTTTCCTTTTATACAATTTCGCGATTCGTCGATCGCCAATGCGCGAAATCACGTGTCGCTCGAGGGGGATTCGATATTAACGATTTTCGGGGAGATAAAGTATTTCCTCATTAATTCGAATGTAACGTTATTAACTACACGGTAGTTTCGCGTTTCGATTCCGCTTCGACGCGATGTTCACTTGGACGAGTTTCCAGCGAAAATGCAAATTTCATTAAACGAGGCTCGCTAATGCCCGAATATTATTATTGTATATATATATATATATACATCTCGTGACCTCGTGATGAGCATTCGATTCACAATAATAAATAATAGGAGGGACGGAGGCGGAAGAGAAAATTGGTGGGTAAAATTTCACGGGTCAAAATTTCGATCCATTCACGTCTAATTAATTTCCTCCGTACTAACGTTCTGTTATTTTTTTACTTTTTTTTAGTTGTTCCTGTCGTCACTCTGAAAATGGGCACATCGTTGAATCCAAAGAACATCAAGGAAGGGGACGACGTTTACTTCGAGTGCAACGTTAGGGCGAATCCTAGGGCTTACAGATTGACATGGTTTCACGAGGTATTTTTTTTCCCCCTTACTTTTACACGCGTTTTCCTCTCATCCAGGAAAAAGGATAAAAATTACGAAAATACTCGAGAGAGAGAGAGAGAGAGAGAGAGAGAGAGAGAGAGAGAGAACGAATCTGGTAGATCCGTCCTGATGTACTCTGATGCGAGTACGGTGGCATATCGGTGGAACGGTGAAAAAGAAAAGGAAAAAGAAGCGCGGTAAAAGAAAAAAGCTCTTCGATGAATCGAAACGGACGTGAAATTAAACGGGCGTGTACCGTTCTCGTCCCGTTCTCTTTTTATACACAAACGCGCCTGTAAAAAGAAGATGGAAAAGCGATGCGATAATTTCCTCGCATCAACATGTACGAAGTAAAATTTAAGGCGAGCCACTGTTTCGGGACTCGATGAGATCTCAAAATGAGTTAAATAATCTTGTATCCCAACGAGATTGAATTCGCTCGCGAAAAACTGTCAATTTTTATCGTTTCCTTTTTTTCTTTTTTTACGAATTGTACTAAAAATAATGAAAAAAAAAAACGGGTATAAACGGGTTATACGCGGGAGAATAATAATTCAACGAATATCGAGCGGGGAAATGTGAAACGCGAGATATTTTCCGAGTAATTCGGGCTAAATTTTGACGTGTTGAATTATCGTATTCGAAAATATGCAGAAAAAATTTCGCGAAAAAATTCCTACGCGCGTCATCTTTTGTAGAGAGAGAGAGAGAGAGAGAGAGAGAGAGAGAGAGAGAGAGAGAGAGAGAAGAGGGGTCGTAGTAATAATAATGGAAAGCGAGAAAAAAAGAAAAAAAAACGATCCATAGCTTTCGAATATATGGTAACGTCTAATACGTTGCTTCTAGTTTGCTACTGTAAACTAGAGGGCGTAAATTCCGCGTGACGCGGCGTCAACACCAAAGCCGCAAGAAGCCAGGACTGGGGAAAAGAGGGGGGAGGCCGTTGGCAGGCCGTTTCTTCTCGTCTTGACTCGCGAAAAATATCGCGAAAAAACTCGCGGCTCGCACACCTGCTCGAAAGCTCGGCCGTTATCTCCGGTCACTCGAGGATCGTCGAGTTAAGCCTCTTAACGTGGATTATGCCTTCCATCATTTTCCGCGCCCTGGATCGGGGCTTTCCCGAGAGGTCGACGAATCCTGGAAGCATCGTCGCGCTAAAACCCTCTCCTCCTCATCCTCCTACGCCCTCCCGACGACGGAGTTTCGAGCGTGGCGACCACGCCGATTCCAGTGATTCCGGTGTCGAACAATCGAGAGAACGAGCCGCTAACAAACGTTAAAAAGGAAAAACGTTAAATGCGCAAGATTCCAATCCAATCCGGCTTAATCCTCGTCAAAGTATGTGAGATACTTTCTCGAGTCGTTCTTCAATCCTTCGTTTAAAAAATAAAGAGATAAGAGATACTCTTGGTGTCGCGAGCTGACAGTTCTGTTCCTCGTTCGATTGACAGAGAGGACTGGAATTTCTTTTTTTTTTTATCGGGATCGCAAAGAATCTCGGAAGGAAATTTTTATATGGATCGTTACAATATGTTTTCTTCGCTCGATGATTTTTTTTTTCTGGAAATTTTTCTATACTCTAAATAAAATATTATATATATATAATCGTGATCGCGAATTCCGCGTGATCGACGATTCTTTAATTTAAGCGTTACGCCGCACAGCTCTTCCATTAATATTCTCGATCGTTAATCGCAAGAATTACGATCGAATGAACTGGGATAATCGAAAGTCGGGGAAGTTGGATAACAGAGAGAGGGAAGGGGGAAAAAGTTTTAATAATAGGGCGTCTTTTCCTTTGGAATATGATTCAATGCTGGGTTAAAGAAGAAGAAGAAGAAGAAGAAGAAGAAAGTAAGGGAAAAATTCGGTGAATAAGTAACAGAGTTTAAAAGTGGCGGGGAAAAAGAGTAGTTTTGGCCTCGGAGGGGAGAGGGGGGAGAAAGAAAGAGAGGAATCGTAGCGAGAAGACAAGGATAATTTGAAAGCGTCTCGAAACCGTTTCTCTATCACCCTCCCCCCATATCTCCCATCTCGTCCCATGCGCGCATTCGTGTGCACTCTGTCGAAATTATTGTAAATTTACGAGGCGGCGTTGTCACTTCCCATCCATTCGGTCGCCACCTCGCCCATAGTCCGAAAACCAAACCGATAAATTGCCCCACGAATCACCGGGCAGAAACGGTTTACCTATCCGTAAAAATGTTCACGTAAAAACGTTCGCGCGCCATGAAAATTTCCCGAAACGACACGTACCCGTCCCGTTCCCCTTTTCGAAAGTGTTATCAAAATTTCAAACTTTTCACCGAAATATTCGATGCGAAACGACAACGGCCCCTACCGCCTTTACCGCGTCGAAAATCCCAAACGTTTACCAAACACTCGTTCCAATTAACGGCGTGCGTGTTCCGAGCATCAAGCATCGCCTCTATATGAATACGGCGCGTGGCCGTAATATATAGTTTACGTACGTATATAGGCCGTGAATCCCATCCTCCGGATTGTTATTGTCTCGCTCGCATCGAATAATTGCTCGTTTCTCTCGCGATAAAATGCTAGAAGAAACTATCCTACCTTCCCTATAAATATTATTATCGGGAATGAAATAAAGAAAATTGTTCTCCCTTCGGCAAAGGATATATTCGTATATACGAATGAAACGAAGAGATATATGGGTATAATATAACCTTCGACGAATAATCTCCCCTCCTCTCTCCCGCGCCCCGGATTGTGACGCGTGGTTGAAACTAAATCCATCGGACGCGTAACATCACGACAAACCGATTTACCTGTGCTACGTTGCCTGGTATTCGGTATTATGGTATATGTTAAACGTCATTACGAGCGCGATATAACCGTGCCATACCGTGCCAATTTCGCGCGATGACTTTTCATCGGTCGATCGTAAAGCGAGAGTAATGATAAAAACTCGCCACCATTTTTTTTTTCTCTTTCATTTTTTTTTAAATCACGGTTAACGCTTCGACTACGTTTAGAACGTGTTCAAAAGTGTCGAACGCAAACAGCGTGATCGTGGTTCGTATATATACATATATATATATATATGTATGTATACGTATAACGTGTATGCATGCATTTGTTGCTTTATAAAGTTAGTCAACGTTAATATACATATACATATAGCGTTAATATATGGTATACATATGCATATCCCCCGCTAAATTCACCCAACTCCGGGATCGTACGTATAATTTCTCGATTGAATATTCGAACCTGCTTTTGAATTAATTTTAGATTTTCGAAGCAGAAATGATCGTACGAAACGAATATAATCGAAAAGGTTTTGGTTAAAATTGAAAACGTAACGTTTTTTGCAATTGCTTTCGAAATTTTTTTTTTGTTTTAATCCATGAAATATAAATTTTAAACATCGAGCGATCCATATTATTAATCTTCTTAAACGTATTTGCATATTTCCGATCGTTTCATCGAACGATTTCGATCGAAAAATATACGAGAAACGAATAAATACATGGCGCGTGATGTATTTCAAAATCTATTTTATCCGTTGATACATACGCCACTTCTCTTGACTTATCCATTTCCGTTCGACGTATTACTATTGCTATTATGCTACGTATGTATACGCTACGTTCCATTTTTGTAGAGACCTTTCCGCGATAGGATGCGAGATTCTTTAAGATTAACAAAGGTATCGCAGCGAAAGGAATCAAAGGACGAGGAAAGCTTTGCCCATGCTTTATGCATAATCCGATGTATAAGAATACGGTGAAGGTAAGTTGGCCGGAAGGCTCACATGCCGAGATATTCCACGAGAATAGGAGTTATCGCTCTTGTCTACCCCTTTCCTGGCATCCGTTTGTAACACAGGCAAGCGAATATATTCCTTGTTTACCGCGAAATATGTATTATTGTTCTGACGTGAATGCGTATATATTTAACGTCTAATGCAGTCACGTTTATATGAAAATCTCGTGGTAAAACAAACGGGAAATAAACGCACACAACCGAGGAGAGCAATTGTTACGTTATATATCTTGCGATATATCGGTATAATACGTTTTCTTCGCTTGCACAACAGCTTTACCGTATCGATCTTACGATATTTCGGAACAAGAGGGAAACACGTTATGAATACTGGATATCGATGGAGCACGGTTGGCGTCGTAATTTGTCCTTGTCCTTTCTCCCCTCCCTAATCAAATCTTACTCACACGAACGTAATATAAAAACAGAGATGAATTTTCACTTCGTATCTCGATATCCTTTCGTCGCTTTCCTTCTTCTAAAAGCTGTAATTCAACTGACGACGGTTGAGAAGTTAGTCGAAAGAAATATTGATTTCTTTTTCTTTCTCCTCTTTCCAATAATTCAATGATAGATAAATTTGCTACGTATTTTTGACAATGAGATGATTTCGACCTAGAATTTATTTAAACACTTGTCACATTCGCACGTACACGCATAGAGTTCCCGGCATCAGAAATAATCGAATTTCCGAAATTCACATTCACAACTACATCTCTTTGCACATTTTTCGTGACACGCTTTGCTGCGAAATTAAAGAGAAATTATAATATCTTGAAGATATGTGTGTGTACGCCTGTGTAAACATGAGAGATTTGAAGATCATAGAAGAATAAATAAATACGGAGAAAAGCGGTAAACCAGTAGCGAAGAAACGAATGTAATAGCAAAAGCGTGAACGTATGTATATATATATACATATATATATATATATACGCGAAATAACGAAGCGAGACGAAAGAAAAAGAAATATAAAGAAGAGTAACACTCGAGTACTTAGCGTGCATTGTAAATTCCCTTTTCGTCCGTAACGAAGCGAGCGAGGATCCAGTAAACGAGGAGCCACATTTTATCGGTAAAAACGTGATCTTTAACTGCGGTCGAAAAAACCGTAAGACACGCGAAGATAAATTTTGTTTTGCGTTAAACTCGTTCTCCCTCTCTCTCTCTCTCTCTTTCAAAAGATTCTCTCTTCTTCTCAAATCCACGAGGGAAAAAATATCGTTCGCGTAACAAAGATCGCACATGGATGGAAATTATACTACAAGGATAGACGTTCTCTTGCCGTTCGAAGAGTTTCTCCCGTTGATCAAAAGTTTCGACGCGAGAGTTTCGATCGTGTTTTTGCTCGCGAAATATATATTTTGAATCTTCCTCGCGCACGAGAGGTTTTATGGTCGGATAGAAACCAGAGAATGCGGCAAACACGTCCCAACTTTTCCAAGCTTCGCCGTCCAGCTTCGCCAACTTTTCCTCCGGTAAACGTAGCAGCAGCGATGGAAGAGAGAGGTTAACTATGTAGGTATGTGACACGAGGCGTGGAAGCATGAAGCGTCCGCCGCTCCGAGCTCTTCTCCCCTCTCCTCACTCCCACTCCCACTCCTTCCACTCCCCTCGTTCGCAACATATTCGAAAGATTTCCGCCACGCGGAAGGAGCGACGCGAGGGACGAGAGTTATCGAGGCGAATTCCCATCGGCTCCGACAATTCTTTGACGGTTAGAATATTTTTTTCCGTTTTGTTTATTCAGGAGGAAGAGCTCCATTACAACGTGACCGCAGGCATAGTGCTTTCGGACCACTCTCTGGTGCTTCAAAGTATAACTCGAGAATCCGCTGGAAAATATAGCTGCACGGCCGTCAATGTCGAGGGTCGAGCCAGTTCCAACGTAGTGAACCTCGAGGTTATGTGTGAGTATATTATTGTCATACTGGGAGGAAAAAGAAAAAAAAAAAAAAAAAAGGAAAAAAGATATCTCTTATTTTTTATATCGGATCCAAAGTTGAATCTAAAGACGCTGTGTGTTTCGCGTGCAAAAAAAAAACAGTCGCTCCTGTTTGCAAGCACGTGTTAAATTCGGCCGGATGGAGGTATCAAAACGCGACACCGCCACCGTTCAACGTACCCGAGGAGATTCACGGCGCGTTGAAGCACGAAACGATCGGTCTTGTTTGCGAGGTGGAGGCGAACCCGGCCACGGTCACCTTCCATTGGACGTTCAACAGCAGCGGTGACCTTGCCGACATTCCGTCCGCCAAATATTCGAACGAAGGCACTTCGAGCAGGCTCAATTACACCCCCTCTTCCGACCAGGATTACGGGACGCTGGCCTGTTGGGCGAGTAACGCGGTTGGCCCCTCGAAACAGCCCTGCCTCTACCAAGTGATCGCAGCAGGTTCGTCGTTTACCATTTGTCGTGTTTCACACAATTTGCCTCGTTATTATTATCGTAGTATATATATATATACATATATATATATACATACATACATATATATATATATATATATAGCGCCGACAATTTCCCTAATTGAATATGCTCGTTTGCGGTGTTGCCAGTGCACCGTGCACCGTACACGTATACCGATATATTCGGAAAACGACGATGGAAAACCGAACGCTGCCCCGATGAAACCGATGAAACCGATTGAGGGAGGAAAACCCCCTCGCTCGGTGGAGGGAGAAATTATACCGAAAATGAAATCCGTGAAATTAATTCACGGCCTTGTATCATGGTCCGTTAATGGAAAAACTGATACGAAATTGGTATGGGAAAGAAAACAAAAAAAATTCGGGTAAGAATTATTCGATGTGGACGGGGCGGGTCGATAATTTCTCAACGGATTCGGATTGTTCCTGTTTTTTTTTTTCTTTTTTTCGATAATTGGACGCATAATTTTCAACCGGGGGATAGCAATGTATTTCTTATACAGAGGGGGGTAATTATCAGAGAGCAATTTTTTACGCCACCGCAGTTCGCGAATAATTAAATCGTTAATCGTTCGTTCGCCATGATGCGAGAAACGATAAATCGAAAATCGAGCAATTTCTATTTTGTTCTCTCTCTCTTTCCGAAATTCCTTTGATACGCGCGTAAAAGATAAAAGGTTTTGAATACGATACGACGATCCCTGGTATAATAATAAATTGTGGGGATAATTTGCGATTGCGCGACGAACACGTGTGGATAAAGAAGGAGGAAAAAAAAAAGAAAGAATTTTGAAAAGAGAGATCCGTTTTATCGCAGGAACACTAATTTATCTGCTACTGCTGCAAAGGATTATTTCTGGTACGCGTTACTGGGGAGGGGAGGAGGAAAAAAAAATAAAAATAAAAATAAAAATAAAAATAAAAATAAAAAAGAACTTCATGCCACGAGCGAGCGCGCGTTTGTTCGATGCTCGCGCTTTTTTAGAAGCTCTATTTGCATACAAGTGATCTCGTTAACGCAATACCATCGTCGATAATGACGACCGTGGAACATAATTTCATTGGCCGCGGAATGGATGGAGCATCACGTTGCAATTTTCGTTTCGAAATAAAATGAAGTTGCGCGAATCGCGACAGGACGGCACAGCCTCTGTATCAATTTTTCTCTTTCCCCCACCCCCGAGCAAAATTTTATACGGCAAACAATGCACAGTTTTAACAGGCACGTACGTGTCTTTCGAATCGAATAAATCTTCCCTACTTATATTATACAAACCAATATATATATATATATATATATATATATATTCGTTGAATTCATACGATCTGAAATGATATTTCGCTCGCAGGCAGGCCGTACCCGTTGCAGAATTGCACGGCGCACAATCAGAGCGGCTCTTGGATCCGGATATCATGCGTAGAGGGATACGACGGGGGTCTGCCGCAAAAATTCGTCGCGATCGTCGACAAGCAAAGGTTGGAATCGTCGAATCCGTATTGGGAGTTGGAGCTTCGAAAGCCGGCAACGGTCGCCCTATACGCGGTCAACATGAAGGGATCGAGCGATCCGGTTATCATGGAAGGGGAGGCGTTAAAAGGAGTGGCCAAGTTCACCGGTGCGTAAGTACCTCTTGCGAGAGAGATGTTGAATGCGAAAGCGCCGCCGTACAAAGACCGCGGTATGCCGCGGCTCTTCAAAAGACGCGAAGCTCCCGTCAAAGCTGCCGATTCAAAGAGAGAAGAACATCTCTGCTCTCCGACTGTTTCCTGCGTATCGGAATGCGTCTATTTAACTCCCTCTCCCCCCTCTCTCCAGTGTTTCTTTCCTAATACGTTTAACTCGTGAACTTCGTGCTCGATCGAGTAGAAATTTCGAATCTCGTCGATGGATTTCTTTTAATTCTTTCTTCTAATTCTAGAGGCAAAAAAGAAAAATTAAGAAAAATTGCGAAGAGAAATGAGAATTAAAAAATTCATTGGTATCGGCAGTGTTGAAAAGTTGTTTTGAAGTTTTAATATTTATATTTAATTGAATTTAATTGAATATTCGGCGTTAGTGGTAAGGACTTGGAATGATTCGTTTTATAGGGGAATCGGGATCCTCGGTGGACATGTCACCGATCCTGATCGGGCTGGGCGGAACCGCGACTGGACTAGGCTTGATCGTGACCGGTGTATTAATGGCACTTTGGAGGAAACACGCGGCAACACCGGCGAAAGCGAAACCGCCTCAACAGCCGAGCATCGCGACATTCGCCGGCAAGGGTGAAGAGGAAGACGGGAATCCTGACCTCATACCCACCACGGCTTTGACCAATCATCTCACAGGTGAGTTATCGCATCGTTTCACGATTTCAAATTCAAGCATAAATGCCTCGCGCGCGGTGTTGCAACATCTACAGAATGAATTCGTACGAAAGATTACTTTCTTTTCCTTTCTTCTTCTTCTTCTTCTTCTTCTTCTTCTTCTTTTTGTCTATTTATTTTTTTCTTTTTCAACAACATCGTCGAAAAATGTACCTAGTATCTCATCTGGTAAATTTCTACTCAATCTGATGAAAGTGCTTGGTTTAAACGAGGATCGATAAATATATCGAGTCTCTAAACCGCGATCGTGGTTAACAATACTTTCAAGGAAATTGCTCGCGAGAGACGCGTGCCTTACATCGATTTGTTTGATATAAGTGCATCGATTCAGAAATCGAATGTACGGATATACGCGATAAATCTACACGAACAATAACGTGGATGCACTCGTCTTTTTTTATTCTCGTTCGAATCTCAAAAATTCTTCTTCGAGCGAGAGAGAGAGAGAGAGAGAGAGAGAGAGAGAGAGAGAGAGAGAGAGAGAGAGAGATAAGGACAATACGCTAGAACAAAATTTTTTCCAGATAGGAAGCTTTTACATTACGGTTCCCTACCACGAAGGCCGCGTCAACTCGAAGGGCGGGAAATGGCTCATAATGTCGTAGAAGATTCGGATTATCCTCGAGCATCGCCAAACGTGAGAATTACATCTTTCGTTTGTCTTCGATTCGAAGACAACGAATGTCCTCTCAAGGAGACGAATAATTTTGTTTGCAGACATTTTATAGCCTGCAGAGGCCGCATCGATATTCGGAAACGGTAATCCGAAGTTCCGTGATTCAGGAGAGCTGCATTTAAGAAATCGAGAAAGGGAGAGGGGAGAGTGGTGTTGAGCGAGGGACGGAAGAGGAAGTCGAAGATTTACATACACTCCCCGTAGAGTTGCGTTCAACAACGCAACACGTGAAAATCAAAAAAGACTAAAGCCATGCTTATGCAATATTGTACACGTTCAAGCGTACGAAGATATTTAGCAAGTCGATAACAATATGCCTTTGTAAATATTGTATATAAATAAAACACATCGATTCGTGTTTATGCGTTTGTATCATGAGATTTTTCCTTTATTCGATATAACCTGGTCTTGGGAAAACATTTTTGTACAATTCAATTTTCGAAAACGATCGAAAAATTTTCTTCGTATATTTTTCTATTTTTTTTTTCCTAGTAGCGGAAAAAATATGGATAATTTTACATAAAATATCATTGAAGATATAATATAGAAAGAGTCGCGGTAATTCCTAGTTTTTTTTCAAATTGAGGAAAATCGAGAGGATCCGGACTATTTCTACGAGAGATTTAATGCATCTATGGACGTTAAATGCACTTGGTAAAAAGGAAATAGCGCTATCTCGTATAGTAGTCAGGAACAAAGCTTGGGGAACGTACATATATCTTCGAAACAGACCAAAAGGTGATCGCATAAACTCTGCTCGGTTGCTGTTGAAATCCGGGTCAAGGAAAGGACGCGATTTATCATGGCCTCATTTCCAGATAATCTTTGTTTCAAGACGCGAAAATCTCAGACACTTAATGAGAATCTTCTTTTATATATATGTTTCTTTTGTTTTAGACTGAAATCTTGATGCCTTTTATCACCACTAAATGTATCGGACTTGACCCACTCGCAAAAATCTCTTCGATCGTATATACAATTTCATGAAAAAAAAAAATGTATATTTGTACAAATTATTTTCCTTTAACATCCTTAGTAATGATGTTATAAAAATAATGCGATATAATAATGTTTATTATTGAACGATGAAATGATCTTTGAAATAAAAAAATAATTTGACAAATCGAAAGAATGAATCGATCTTTTTTATATATCCTTTGTTATATGTAGGATACAATAATTTAATCTTTTTTTGTTTTTATTTTGTTATCGATAAAAAATAATAAAAACCTATACTACATATATTTATATATCTTTATCAAAATAAATATGATGATGTAATAATAAAAAATATAATAAATTCTAATAATTTATTACAAAAATTATATTATTATTTTTTCATTATGTAATATTATATTTTATATATAAAATTATATTTCATTATATATAATTTTTATATTTATACACTTTAACATACTTTAGATTGAATTTAAAGTTTAATTATTCTATTAAATTTTGTTAAATGAAATTACTTTTGTAATAAAAGTTTTTTTTCATATTGCAAGAGAAGTAATTAAAGAAATAAATAAAAAAATAAATAAATAAAAAATAAAAATTGGATTTTCTGTATGTTGAATATGATATACTAGAGGGCGTAAGAAACTAATTTTTATTGCCATCGATATTTCAGAACACTAAAGTGACTCCAAGTCATGCCGCAAGATGTCACTTTTAGTCTCTGCTTCATATTCTGAAATATCGATTGAAAAATAACCAGCGATTTTACGCAATGAGAAATAGAATACACGCGACATCTTTCGGAAATTTGCATTGTGCATATCGATCTCAATCATTATAATTTCATCTACATAATGCCATCTATCATTCTATAATCTAAGTAATACGTATTAATATTTGTCTTAAAATTTTTACTTAAAAAAAATTTATTATTAAACTATCTATCAATACCTAAATCTATTTATGTAAATATTTCTTAATAAGAATCTAAAGTATCTACTTAAAAAAGATTTATTTTAGTCTACTTATTGAAAAATGGAATATAACCAAGGAAAGGACTATAAAGAAATATAACCAAAAAAAGGTCAAAAAGATCAATATAAAAAATACATAAGAGTTTTCTTTGGTTGATTTGATCCCATATTTTCCTATAAAATTTTTGAAACAAACAATAGATTACAAAACCTTAGTAAAAGTCATTATAATAAATTATAATTTTTTTAATTAATCATTTAATAAATTATAATTTTTATTAATCATTTAATAAATTATAATGACTTTCTAATTGAAAAATGGACTCAAATGTAATTCCTGCCTAAAAATTTTTCCTAACATCCTTATTTCTATTTTTAACAAGTATCTAAAGATACTGCTTATCTATTTATCTGTACATAGCAAAATTTAAAAATTTATATAGAGATTTTATTTAAATAAAAATTAATTTTTTTTTTTTAATATTTTCTTATTTAATCTAAGATATAATCTATTCATATAAAAATGTTAAGATTTGAATGCAGACCCTACTTATTTAAAAATCTCATTATAATCAAAAAAAAAATACGTTGAAATATAAGTCTTCATTGGTTGATTCCATAGTAATTTCTGAAACAAATTAAACTATAAAGAATTAGTAAAATTCCATATAATAAAATTATAATTTTTTTTAAATTATAATTTAAAAAAAAATGATAATAAAGATCAAAATTCTAATAAATTATAATAGTAATAAAAATTAAAAGCTTAAATTAAAATCTTTAAAAAGAATAAAAAATTACATAGAAAAAAAGACAATTATCTCTTCGCGTGATGGATGATCTCTTTATTTTCTTGAGAGAAACACTGAGTCTATTCCATACCGAAAACAATTATTAAAAATAAAAAAAAAAAAAATAAAATAAGAAACTACTAACACATCCATTTATATTGAGTAATCAACGAACAAACACTGATTCTATCGATCACATTGCGCGTGGTCACAATAATGAAATTATATTAATGGAATGAAAAGAAAATGAAAAAAGAAACAAAATATGTTCATATTTCCTTATCGAGCATTTGTTAATTAAAAAAAATATTGCTATTTAAAAAAAAATAAAATTGTGAATATTCATTATTAAAATTAATGATGTTTATATTATGTATATTAAATTACATTAAATATTTGAAACTTTTTTTTTAAATCTTTTTTATTTTTATCTTATGTTTTATGTCATCTATGTTCATCTAATATTTTCAATAATTAATATAATAATTATAAATTATATAAAAACTATGTACATAATACATAAGTAGTAAATTACTAAAAGAAAAAAGTAAATACTTACATTTTTCTTCGATATAGAAATTTAAATTTTACCTCTTTTTTCATAAAATATAAAATAATATCGTGGTATCCATTGAAAATCCTTTTCTCGTCTAAAATAAATTTTATCAGACAAACTATTTATATGCGCAAAAGATAATTAAATATGTACAAAATGTATAATAAATGTATATTAAATTAATTTTATTAAAATAATAATAACAATCTAATTTCAAATCTTACTTTAAAAACTCGTGAATATGAGTTAGTGGTAATTTTAATGATTAATTATATAAATAAAAAAGAAAATAAATTTTACAAAGAATTATAAATTATAATAATAGTCAATAAATAATCGAATAAATTAATGAAATAAAAGCCTGAAAATATAAAAGAATAATTGTAATATTATTCAATGTATATAGATATTACATACCTGAAGCGAAGTGGCTATTTTTTTTAGTAGCAAAATCCCGTATAGTAATTTCGATACATCGAATTATAAATTAGAAAAAGTTCGATAAATCGACAATTCAATAAATCGAAACATGTCGAATAAGATACCACTTTCCTGAAAAACTGAATTATTAGAAATATTTTCAATCTTAGAGTTTTAGCATAAAAAGCATAAAATCAAATATAAAAATAATATAAATTAAATATATGAATATATAAATTGAATAATATAAATATAAACATTTAAAAATATACAAAAATATTTATAGAATGTGTGTGTGTGTGTGTAAATGATCTATTTTCATTTTTCTATGAATAAAAAGATAAAAGAAATTTATAATAATTATATATTCTTAAAATAAATAAAATCTTACCACATTTGCATAAAAGTTGTCGGATTATCTCTTAATTTATTATTTTGCATAGTATGTGCAAAAAATATTATCCTTTCAAAGAGGCCATCCCATCTTCAAAATCTTCTTCTTATCTTCAAATCAAACAGTAATCTATTACGAAAATGTTCAATTCTGGTATAATAATCATTAAACAAGCACACATTGACAAAACAAAATCTAATAATAAGTTTAATAACCATAACACGATAAAAATTTCATGTAATTAACTGATGAAACGTAACCTGTCACTATGATTTTCAATTGTAGATTTTCAACTGACGCCATGCGCATAATGATGTACATTGATTCATTTTGAGACTGAATTTTAGCAGCTTCCTGAATGGCTAACATTACATGGTTCCATATTTCAAATCAAATTTCAAAAAATCAAATTTTATTTTTCATGGTTATTAAATTTTTCTTTCCTTTAAAAAAAGACAAGAAATTAATCAATTAATATAATATAAAAAAAAATTTAAATAAATATCTAAAATACATTAAATTAAATACATTAAATTAATTAATTAAATTAAAATAATCGAATACAAATTTCATCTTAAAAAATATGATATAAATTACTGTAAGTTTAATCAATAAATAAATAATAAAAAAAAATCGCCATTAAAAAATTTCTAATTAAAAATAAGAAATTTCAATTAAATTCCTGCGAATATACAAACAAAAAAATATAATTATTGAAATAAATACTATACAGTAAATACAAATAAAAATTACATATCTCGAAAAAACAATGATATAACTAAACATGAAAACTATCGATATTACAATGATGCCTCAGGCTACGATTTCGATTATCAAATTACAAGTTGCAAGGAGTGAGAAGGAAGCGAGAGGAAGAATATCAAATTTAACAAACATCGAAACATATCGAGCATAACCGAAAAAAAAAACGTACAAATATCGAAAATCTATCACGAAATTAATAGATATATACGAGATCTAGTTATTATATTTATTATATATTTAATAAATAAATACCCATAATAAACCCAACATTCAAAAATAGTAATATATAAAAAATAAAAAAAATGCGACTTACCGAAGAACTTTGTAGAACATTGTATCGTCCACTTGACTGATTGTCCAATGATGAAACATATCAACATTCACAAATAAAATGATTATATATATATATATATATATATAATAAACAAATTATATAAGAATAATTTATGTAGAAATATATGGACTGAACATTCGTAAATAAACACTACACTACACAACTAAACAATTGCAAAAAAACGCGCGAAACCGCTACTACGTCACTGCGCAAATAAACATACTTAAAACATTCATAAATAAAACATATATATTTTAAACACTCGCGAATAAAATGTAGGATGTATTTTAAATTTGATATTTGTGCACATTTTTAAATTATATCGAACAAATATAAATTATATACGATGTCGATATGCGTAGCTCCGACATATGTATACAGTACGGCGGTTGAAATGTAACTAATGTTTCTCCCCACCGTAATGCGCGTAACTCGGTGCGCAAAGTCACGCGCATCGATACAGCACATATTACTATTTATAATTCTTCGAAATATTATACAATTTATTAATTATAATTAATATATATATATATTAATATAACGATATAATTTATTAATATAATTTATTAATATTTTAATTATATAATTTATTAATATAACGATATAAATTTATAATTTACCATATTTATTAATTTTATGTGACATATAAAAATTTAAATATATATGATTTAAATATAATATATATGAATATAAAAATGTTTGTATATTGCATATAAATATGTAAAAATAGATGAAAAATAAATATGTAGATATTTACGATATATAAAAATTGAATCGGATAGATTTTGTTAAGATTTTTAATCAATAAGTTAAACAAAAAAACAATAAAATTAATTAAATTAATAAACACTATTTCTTCAAAGCATGAATTTTGTAAAATAAATATAAACAGAAAAAAAGAAAATAAAAGAAAAGTAAATAATAAAAAAGTAAAAATAGAATAAAAAAACGCCTTTAACATTTTTGAAAGTTAAAGATATTATTTTAAAAAATTATTCTATATTTCTGAAAACATTCAAAACGTTGTATTAGTTTTCAATTCTTATTTTATTTTATTTTAGCTTTGAAGAAGTATTTTTGATACTTTAAAGATGGTGCTGATGATCAATTCTCTATCTCTATCCTACTATTTTCTATCCTTTTTTTTTGTGTGTTTCATTTGCAGCACTCTGAAGATGGCGCTAATTTCAATATTTTTATCTTATCTCTATCTTTTTCCTATATTTATTCTCATTGTCTATTAATTTTATATATATTAATTTCATATATACCATTCTATTGATTTTAATATTTTTACCTATTTTTACTGCAAAATATGAAAAAATGCATTAAATCTATTCCTTTCTATATTTCGTTTATGATTTCAATATATAGAATGAAATTGTAGCGTTAATAATGGAAAAATTAAAAATTAAATTTCAATATAAAATTACAAATAAACAATATTAGAACAATCAGAATGAATTACTAAATTTTATTCTATTTAATTTTGCAATTGAATAAAATAAACTTTATCAAATCAATTCAATATAATATTAAGAATATTTAAATATTTTTAATAAATCAACATACTAATAATATTAAAAAATAACTCGATTGTAAAATCAATTTAGCAAGAAACTAAAAATATTTTAATTATCTAATGTCGGTGATATAAAAAATCTTATCATGAGATTAAATGTAATTGATACAATAATTCATATTTTTCGAATATATCTACAATTTTACAATTTTATTTAAAAATTAATAAAATCATTTTAATTCATCTTAATATATTATCTTTTATTTATATCATATTATTTATTCTCATTCTCACTTTAATCTAAGCATCATTTTATGAATTAATATATGTGTTTAACGCAACTTGTGATTTATAGTAAGTAAACCGGGGTACGGTGTCAATGCTTTTATTTCGTCATAATGTTACCATTGATCAATACGTATTTAACTTTTTTATAGTGACAAATCTATAAATAAATACTTGTTATATCAAGTTGTCATAATTGCAAAGTATACATACACTATACATATACTTACATTAAAAAATAGAAAGCTTCTACTTTAATATATAAAGCTTCTATTTTAATATATAATTTGATCTAATTTGAATATATAAATATATTAAAATATATATATATATATATAATAAATTCGTCAATCTGTATCCATAAATTAGCTGTTTTAATTGCGTTAATATTTTAACATTCTCGTTGCGTGTAATGGAATGAATTTTGTAAACAATGATTTCTCAAAATGTATTCACCGAATTACTTCAAGTTCCAAGTTTTGAGCAAATCATTTTGTACGGAGGAGCAAAGGTCGTACGATACAAAAGCATTAAAATTGGCTAATAGTTATTAATTTGATCGTTGTCTTGCGTGGTAATAATGATTACAGTAGATTAAGTGCCAAAAATCCACCTCTCTTCCCTCTCTGTCCTCTCTCTAGGTTGTTCCTTTGCCGTTCTTCCTACGGAGAGGGGCATTCTTCTTTTACTTAAGGGGTGGACCGGTGGGAAGGTAAGGAAAATCTTATAAGCTAAAATAAAAGCGAAACAAGGCAAAGTCCGCGGGAGTATTTTTTTCAGTCTGAAGAACTACTTAGTGGAGTGGCTATCGTATCGCAGGTATCACCCTCTTAAACAAACGTTTTCCAACTGATTAGTTAGTGACATTTTAAATATTTTTAATGCATTATGTGTGCCTTCCAACTAACAACAAAGCTAAGATTACAAGTGAAAGTGTGAATATAATTTATCGTGCAAAATTAAAAGTTTAAAAGTGGAAAAGTAATATTTTGTTCTTTTTTTTTTTTTTTAATTAGGTAAAAAGGTAAAAAATATATGAGATATGTATATAATTTTCTAGAAAGTGACATCATTATCAGGATAAATATTGTATAAAATTTCTCGCTTTCATATTAAAAAAAAAACTAGAATTGATTATATTTAATAATAATAATCGTTAAATTAAATTAAATTCATCAAAATTTTAATTTNAAATTTTTTTCGCTTTCATTTCAAAAAAAAAAACTAGAATTGATTATATTTAATAATAATAATCGTTAAATTAAATTAAATTCATCAAAATTTTAATTTTTTAATATTTATTAAAATAAATATCTACAATAAGAAATTTTTCTTACTTGTCCATGTCATCTAATAATATTTGAAGCATATTACAAGAGAAATAATTAACATATAATTTCTTGAATTAGATACTCGACATTCAGATATAATGAATCAATGTCACAATCAAACAGTTTGTTGTACTTTAACGTGACCTGCTTTCATTCGTTAAATATATCTCATTAGCTAAATATATCAAATTAGAGTATTGGTTGTGATATATACTTAAAGAAAAAGATCTAAAGAGAAAAAAGATATATAACATTCTATTCAAATATTGTTAAATAAGTGTAACAAAGTATACTCAAGCCAATCTTTGGAATTTACAAGATTATTTCTAATAAACTAACAATCACATTAAATAATCATATTTTTATTTAATCCTAAATTCGAAATGTTTCTTATCAATCCTTTAGCTCTTCTAATCCTAAACGAAAAGCAAATTGAATAATTAAATTTTATTATTGTTAATATACAAATAATAAATAATAATTGAATAATTAAAATTATTATTGTATCGTGCATTTATTATTTAATAATTATATCTTATATTATTTCTTGTGAAAAGTATTAAATGTAAAAGAAGAAAACACTTTTGCACCATTTTAGGTCCTGCTTAATTTCGGAAGACTCGAAAAAATATGTGGGCAGATGAGGAACCAGCGCCATGGGATATCGAAGAAACTCCAGAGGAGGAACCTGAAGAAGCGGCTGCAGAGGGAGCTCCGGCAGCTGAAGCTCCTGCGCCTGGAGAGAAACCAAAGATCAAATTAGAGAAAATTGAACCGCCGCATTATAATCATCATTGGGTTCGCCCCCTCTTCCTTAATTACGCGTATCTTTACGAATATAGGTAAGATATCATTATTTTCATCATTTTCATCATTATTTCTCATCGATTAAAAATTATTTACGAATAGAAATTCAATTGAAAAATATTACATTATATTAATGATTCCATATATATATATATATATATGCATTATAATAATATCAATTTCTAAATCAATGATCGTCGTATATATTGTGTTATTATCTAAAAGAAACTTTTGATTCCCTTTCTTCTTCAGAAAAAATTATTACGATGACGTGATTAATTATCTGAACCAAAGACAGAAAGGTTTATTCCGAGAACCTCCTAGAGCGCAGGAATGGGCTGAACGAGCAATGAGGACTTACGACGAGAAGAACGTCGATAAGAGTGTGAAACGATCGGCAGATCTGAAATATATAATTAACATGAGACACGAGCCTAGATATTACAGTTATCATACTCGAGCGTATTATAGCTTGAAGTATCAGAAAATTTTGTAAAACTTTATTTTTTTAATCGTAAAACTGTGTACAATTTATTACGCGATGCAGAATTGGCTTATATGAGTTTACACGCAGGTTAATAATGAAAAATTTATATCGATCGATGAAGAATTTTATTTATTCGAGCATGTATTTAACTGTAAATTTTATTCGTGAGATATTTTTCAAAATGAACTTTTTTAAATAGAAATACAATACATATTTCTTATTTGTTTTTCAAATAAAAAAAAAATATATATATATATATAATTCATGTTCAATTTCATAGAAAAATTTTTGTCTCAAAATACTTGTACAAAGACTGTATTGTTTAAGTAAATAGATTATATATGGTTAAGTAACATTGTAAAGCACATTTTTCTCCATTCAATATTAATATCTTCTTTCATCTATGTTAAAAGATAGTTTCATAACCAAGCATAGGTATCATATGTTAGGATGAAACTTAGAGATGAAACAGGAGGGGAAATAATAAATTAAAGATTATCTTGCTAGATAGTTAAACTAGATAGAATAATAAATTGTAAATTCTGAATCAATATTTTCTGTATATGTTTTATTGAAATAACAATATTAAATGATGTGGGTACATTTTTATATTCTTTTTTTATCATACAATAATATCTTAAAATATTTACTGAATAATTTTTTTAGAATGAAACGCTTTTCTTCTTATTCGAGAATTTTCTTTTCAACGGCAACAATGTAATGGTATTTAAAGGATCCGCAATTTCATTCGGTTCTATTGACAAATTAATTTTCTCTTGCCTTGGTTTTATAGGATGAGGCACACACGGTTCAATATTTACATTAGGCATTTTCACAAATTTTATGGTTTTCGGTGCTGCTTTCTCCGGCAAAGCATCTAAATTGGGGAATTTTTTTAATCTCATGTCATCGTAATTCTCCGTGTTGTCAAATTTCGTCGCGTGTCGCTGGAAAATAATATCCGCTTGTTCAAGCGTATTCCTCGCTTTCTCGATTTCTGCGTTCAAATCGATCACGTCGAATATACGATCCTGCAAATACAAGCGACAATTCAAAAGTTTTAAACTCCTTAACAGAACAAGAATGTTTACATATATATATATATATATATATATATATATATATATANACCTTGTACACCTCTTTTCAGTGATAAATATATTTTCCAAATCAACTATATACGCGTATTCTGGGTGCAAATATAACCTGCATGTCCCTCCGTTTGCGCCTCAATTCAGCCATATCTTCGGCAAATGCAGCAGAAGCTCGTTCCTTGTAACGTCGTTGACTGGTAACGAAATCATCCTCGAAATCATCCTCGATTGCTCGATCGTATATATAATCCAAATCATCTAAAAATTCATTACGATATCCCGATGGATTGTGAGAACCTAAAATTTGAATTGACGATATTAGATGGAAATTTTAATCTTATTAAAAAAAAAAAAAAAAATGTCAAAAAATTTTTTGCGAAAGATTACCCTCCTTGTATCGTTTATCTTTATTATTATTAATAATGTAAAACTATTTGAGAATCATTGCTAATATACATATATATATATATATATATGTATGTATATGGAATTTAAAGTAGAAACGTACACGATTACGATGATTATATGTTACGAGATATGTTGTCAATTGTGTATCTTTGGGTAGATCGAAGTTATATTGGAAGGTAAAAGAAAGAAAAAATTAAAAAAGAAAAGGGAGAATTAAATTATGAAAAGAGAAATATTTTGGAAGAATGAATAATTATACAACATGCAAACATATCGTGGCACAAATAAAGAACAAAATTTATTTACAAATAAGAAGAATGAATACATACAATAACATTAGGACAATGTCTTTCTTATTTTATTGTAATTTGAACCCTAACAATCCTAAAACGACAAAAGGAGTAGTATAATAAAATTAATCCTTAGATAGATTTTATAGATAAGATAAGATAAAGTATATATCTTTATTTTACATAGAATTTACGAGATATCGAATAATCAAACATAAATTACGCTATATTTTTTTAACAACCTTTTTAAAGTTAAATTGGCATATATATAATTAAATAAGAAATAATTTTTCAAATTTTTTTTTTTTTTCTTATCGATAAAAATTATAAAATTATGATTCAACAAAATATATCTTCTTTCAATAAAATATCATCAGTAATAAAGTAAAGTATGTAAAATAAATATAATCATATAATTTGTTATTGCGTGTATATATACATATACGTATATAATAACATACGCTTGTATGATTACGTAAAGAATCTATTATACATTATACGTTACAATTGAATATATAATCGATTAAAATTATATTTTCACGATATTGCTAATGTCCTACTACACTTTGTACAGATATCAATATTATTCGTGTGAATGTGAATACATGTTCGTTATAGCTGACGATGCAAGAAAGGGACGATCCGAAACGATATATGTACATACAAAGAATATTCGTAGGATCATTAGGAACAAAAAGAGATAGATATATATATTAAAAATAGAATAACAAGAAGGATAGGATGGGATGTTGCTGGTAACGCACAATACATATACGACTTATATATATTTCTCTTTCCTTTGAATAATAAAAACACGATCGTTATCATACCTTTAGGTCATAAATATTTAATCTTATCTTAGAATCGAATATAGAATATTCCTAAAAAGCGACGTGTTTCTCGGCACGTTCGCGGATGGAAACCTTTTTGCTAACAACCGACTGCTCCTGAACGTTCTCCGTGTCGGCGATATTTTCGTTGATCAACGCCCTGAGAGCGGCTGCCCTGCGCTCCCTCTTCGCTTGCCTCTCCGCTAGCTCCTCCATCTCGGACTCGAGATCGTTCAAACGTGCCTTCGTCTGTTTCGCCCTGGTCGCAGCGGCGCTTGCCGCGACCGAATTTTCGTTATCGTCCATCGTCAGTTTCGACCATTTGGCGAGCATCGGCCTTCCCTCATCCGACGAACGATCCGCGATCTCGTCGAACATCTTCGAACGTCTTTTGAACGTTGCCTCCGCCTCTTCGCCGATCGACTTAACATCCCTCCACAGATTCCTCCTAGCGCTTCGGCCAGTTTCGTCCCGGTCCTCGTCATCGCGGCGTGCACGTCGCGATCTCCCCAACGCGGCTTCGACCTCGTCCTCCAACCCGATCGCGGCCAGTTTCGCTTTCAAATGTTGCGTCGTTGCTACGACATCGTTGGCAAAATTGTCGGCGAATCGGCGCCGACTACGCTGCCCACGGCTGTCGTAGACGACATCCTCGTCTTCGGGGGCGAACAAGTTGTCGGCAGTGGCCGAGGAGGGTAGTGTGGGTAATTGTGGGCCGCGAATGGAAGGATCTGATTCAAGGTCAAGGTCACGTCCAAGGGGACTGTTGCGAGGGGCGGAGAGGTCACGCGTGCCTGTAAAAACGGACATCTCAAAATATGCAGGCTGTTAAGGATCATACACATATACATATTTCCATTAATTTCGTCGTGTTTTAAGAATTTTTCGACCGTGTTATCCGCGGATCTTTCTTCGGATAATAGCGAATGTGTGAGTACATATTTATGTTAATTTACCCTCGTTTTGTAACGTACACCTCTCCATTCAATCTTTATTAAATTAATTTCTAAAACAATAGATAATAATATTTTAATAAATTCATTTTCAAATGTAATTAAAAATTCAGATTTATTTTTTTTTTATATTCAAATGTAAATATATTTATATTTATTATTATTATTATTATTATTATTATTATTATTATTATTATTATTATTACAACATTCATTTTAATAACAAAAATTTCTTATATTGAAAATAAAATTCTTCAAAAAAAAAATAATTATATATACATATATAATATTGTAATGAAAAAAATATTTAAATTTTCTTAATTCTAATGAATTTTTAAAAATTATTGTATCAACAATTTATCTTCCAACTCTTATAAATATTAATTATATATGAAATTTTGAATCAATTTTTTTAACGTTCGTACGTGTGTGGATTGTAATGTATTAATAAAATATATATATATATATATATACGGTTTTAAGATTCGAAGATATCTCTTTTACAACGAATTATAAATAACAATTGGTTTTTATATTTAATAATATGAGATCTATAAAAAAATTAAGAGATGAAAGGGAAAAATTTGTTTTTCTCAAAGATCACGTCTTTACACTTTTACATACATACATACAGTATAGAGAGAAATAATATCCGAATGTAATGTAAAATGATATATATATAGTAATAGTAGTAGTAGTACGAAAGTATCTTTGTACTCGTTTCGTGTCACAGGATGTAATAAATCATTAGACGATGCAGCTTTTTTATGTCATTGTGATTTTATTTTATTCTGTTATTAGTGCAAAGGTTTTTCCTTGAATTATGTTGATCGTTGAATAAAATTTTTCGTCTTATTTTTTTCTTTCTTTTTTTTTTTCTTTTTTTTTTTTTTTTTTCTTTTGTGTGGCTGTAACAGCAGATATACGTATATATATAAAACAATACATTCATCGTCGTCACATTAGGAATTGGATTGGACATGCCGAAAAATAATCCAACGTTTTTTCTTATTGACGATGGAAAAAAGTTACTGACGTAGTAGTTAAAGGGGAGGAAGAGGGGGGAGGGAGGGAAGGGGAGGGGAGGGGAGAGAAAAAAAAAAAAAAAAAAAGAAAGAAAAGGAATAGGATATATGTTCACTCCTTAAAACCATTTTGGAAAACGACTGAAGATGTTACCGATGTCGCCTCGCCGGGCTGCAATCTCGTCGGCCAACGAATTTCTTGGTTCAGAAAAAAGTGGTCGTGAGCTATACTTTCGATCCAAGTGATCGACCATTGGCTTATAATACGACTCCCCTTTGTCATAGTTGCATCCATACACGCGCGTACGCGGTCTGCTAAGGATCGGTCTTGACATCTTGGATATAGAATACTATCTTCTTCGCTACCTGAAATTACATTTATTCGTAATAAATTAATTTGTTACAGTTTGGAGATCGAGATAGAGAAATTACGAATAACAATTTAAGTAAAGATTGATTCTTATTCGAATCCTTTGGTGGTGTAATAAAATTGCAAAAAAAAAAAAAAAAAAAAATCGGAATAAAACAACTTGGAAAATATATTAAATAATTTGTGCGTTATTATGATATATAAAAAAATTAACAAACATTTTTTTTCTTTTAATTTTATGTTACGATTCTGAATAAATTTTAATCATTATTATAATTATAAATTGATTATGGATTAAAATTAATTGTTGTAATTATTTAAAAGAAAGATCGATCAATCAATTTGAAATGACGTGTAATAATTTCGAATGGAAGAAATCCTTTTTTTTTCCCTATTTCTCACCCACCAATTTATTAAACAAAATTTTTAAACAATTCCAAACATTGAATATCCCTCATTTAATTTTGCTATACAGTTCCTAGTATGAGTAATCAGTAAATTGGAACAAGCAACTATAAGTTGTTCAAAAATAGACCGTGTCTAATTTGGTGTCCGTGAACTAAACTGGCACACAGTACTCTCAAGTCCCGGACAACCGCCTCCAATTACAAAGTACATTTGACCCTATTGTTCTTTTTTTCTTTTTTCTTTTTTTTCAAATTTTTTTTACTTTTATCTTCTTTTCTTTATGTTTCTATCTATATACTTATGTACAATCTTTTATCTAGACATATTATATATTATGTATAAAAGTAAACAAAAATATCCATTTTTTTTTTTTTTTTCATTTCACGTACATTCTTTCACTAATTAAATTAAATATTTAAAAAGAAAATTCCATCTTTTTTATTTTGTTTTCAATATAATGAATCGATATATTATAATGTATTATAATATCTATTCTTTTTAATATTTGCTTCAAATTTTTATTATTATGATTAGTTATTATAAAATTATTCTGTCGTATTATTCTATATTGCTACGTTGTATTGTATTCGTTGAATATTGCGTTAAAAAATATTTAAATGATATGTAATATATCAAATATGATTTTTAAATTTTAAAAATTAATTATATATATATATATATATATATAACTTATTAACAGTATTATCATAATATTATAGAAAGTGAAAAATCAGTAAAAAAAAATATATATATATATAAATAAATAAAATCAAAAATAATTGAATTGAAATTATAACAAATATCATCAAACAGATAATCCAATATATTATTATTTTTCAAAAAAATCGTTTTTGCATTTAAAACAAAATATAGGATTCGAGATTTTTAATTATTAATATGTGTATCCAATCAAACATAATCGATTCTCAAAAATATTTTTTCCCAATATATATAGTCTTTTTCAACAAGAATTAAAAATTTATTTGATTTTTTATTTTTTTATCTTAATATCAGTGGCGTGCATAATAAAAAATAGATATATGAATAAATATTCAAATTTAATAAAAAAATGGAACAATTAACATAAAATTATATAACGAAAAAAAATGATGTTATTATCAATAATTTAAGCAACATTGTGAACAATGTTTATGCTACGTCCACACAATCTGTTTGTTACACCATTTAAAAAATTTTATTTATTTAATAAAAATATTTAATTATATTATTATCTAATAATCATAAAATAAACTCATCTTTTTTTCAAATAATGTAAAATACTGAATTATTTATAATTATTATGCGCAATAAATAAATTTAAACTATCAGCGAAATTCAATATAAAATTTTATGAAAAATATTTATACTTTTTAGCAATTAGTGTTTCACATAATGTGAAATATTAAATTATTTAATATATTCTAAAAAAAATTTAATTAAGATTTTGTTGTTTTAAAGAATATTAAAATAACTAGCAAAATGAAAAAAATATCAAAAACATTGAAAATCATGGAAATATAATGACAATATAATCTTGTTTTATTTTCATCCTTATTTTCATTTTTAATTCCATTATTATTGTTTGTTGATATTTGTTTTGATGAAATTTAATTTGAAATGAATAGTACGTGTATTCAGAATGTGCGTTCGTTAACACGTTACGTAAGAACTACCAAATTTAGCTTGCAGACATAGTGTTAAAATGATGATATCAATTTCAAAATCATTTTGATTTAAATTATTTTGTATAAATATTTCATATTAACGAATAATTGATTCTAATGGATGTTCGTATTAAATTTACAACGTAAATATATTAATTTAATATATAAATGTTATATAAATATTAATATATTAATTAAAAAATCAAATTTTAATTACAATATAAAATTATCAAAGATAGTAAAATGAATTTTAAAAATAATATTAAAAGAAATAAAAAAAATATGAATCCATGTTTATAATGGTAAAAACAAAAATATAACTTATTTATCAAAAAGTAAATAATATGATCAAGAAATCATGAAAATAAATAAATAAACGTAATAATAACACATAATGATAAATAATAATTAGATGGTAAAAAAAAGAAATAATCGGAAATAACGAAAGAAAATAACTTTTCTGTTTTCTCATATTTTCTGGTTATATATTTATTAGATTTATAACAAATCAAAATTTTAAGATAAATTAAGAAATTGCTATTATAAATTATATGTAATAATATATTTACATCAATGTTGTGACGAAATAAATATTATAATGACATTATTTCTCTATCCGCGCTATTCTTCACTTTTTTTATTATTAATTAAAATATTGATCTCTCCATTCGAAACAATGCACAGAATGATATTTAAATATTATTCAAATAAATTAATTTAACATTAATCTATCCATCTTAACAGATATATATGCAAGTATATATGTAAATGCAAAAAAATTTTAATTAAATAGCATGATAAAATCATAGTATTTTATAATATCTGAACTTACAAAGTATCCTATAAGATGTTATTTCCTCGGAAGTAGCGACACGACTCTCGCAGACGTTGCAACGCTCGTTATTTCCCACTCCGAGATCTACTCCCTCCTTCTTTATAGTATCTCTTTCGTCCAATATGTATTTTCTATTAATTTACTAATACTTAATAAAAATATTTATTAACATTTTTCATCTTTTTTATCTTTATTACATATTTATTTTTTACAATAATTTGTAATATTATTAGAGATATAGAATAATATATACTAAACTATGAAAAAATTATTTTTTTAAATGTATCATTATCATTTATCTGCTATTTCTTGTATCTTTAAATCTTAATTGATATAATAATATCAAATACATATGATTTAATATTTTCATAGATTTTTAATTAATTAATAAAACAAACATGCTTCAAAAAAATTCAAAATGTAATCATACGTTATTACCAATCAATTTTGCTCCTTAATTATATTAATGTTAATAATAGAAATAAAGTAGCATTTATATTATTAGTGTTATTAACAAATTTAATAAATCAAATTTTCTTAAATTTAGGGAAATCGATATTTTATGTTCGAAAACAATATATTATGAAAAAATGTTTTAATATTAAACACGTATAGCTTACAAAATTATGTGCAAACTTAAAACTTGATATAAAATACATATACATATGTATGTATATATTTTCTAAAATTAATGTATGACTAATACTGAACACATTTGAAACTTAATATGTACCATTTTACATTTTCTATTTAATGATGTATGATACATATGCATACGTATTGTAATGACGAATATATTGAATATCTATTAATAATCTTTTACATGTATCATAAATCCTCCAAGTAGAGTGACGTTATAAATTGTATAAATATAATTTATTTATATGTTTCCGAGAAAATCAACAATTTTATTTAGAGAAGTTTGATTATAATTTATGATGAATTTTTTTGTTTGTTATAGATGATTTGTGCGTAAAAATTCATTTATATATATTTTTATGTTTCTTTCTTTTCAATAAAGCTTATTAATTTATCATTTTAAAGTTCTTTAAAATTTAAATTTTTATTTCTAATTCTTAATTCTAAATTTCTGCCTCTCCGTTCATTTTTTTTTTTTTTTTATTATTTATCTTTGAATATATAGAATGAGATATAAAACTCCAAACCATTCCAATAACTTTATATTTTAATATTATAAATTCAGATAAATTTTTATAAAATTTGAAATATAATATTTTTATTATATGTATTTTTTGAAACTTCAAAGATGAAGAAAAAAAATGCGAAAGAACAAAATACAAATCTAAATAAAAAAAAATACAAGTTAAAATAAAGTAAAAAAAAGGTTATTATACTCTTATAAAATCATAAGAAAATGAAATAATACATGTATTATGAAATTATAAATATTAATATTTAATATTAAAATATCATATTATATTTACATACAATTAAATGCAATTAATAATAAATCAATATTTACATATATGTATTGTATATATATATATTGTATTTTAATTGATATTTTTGAGTACGTGCTATGTATCATGTATCCCATTTTTAAATTTATAATATAAATTTGTTTCCAATATTGTTAAATATTTTAGAGGAATAGATAATATATAATATACTGAATATTTGTACAAAGTTGGTTAAAAATTTAAGAGATAATTTTATGATCCAAAATAAGGTAAAAAAAAAAAAAATAAAAAAAAATTATTTTAAAATTTTATTTTTTTGATCATTGACAATTAAAAATCAACGAAAATATCTTTAAACGTTAATAAACCGAACAATAATTAACAATGGAATATTTCCCAATAATATATTGATATAATGGATTTATTTTCTAATAAATTATAATTTTGACGAAATTATAATAAATTTCATCATATAAATTCATAACAAAAATAAAACATCAAAATATAATCACTTTCATAAGAATGTATTTATTGAATTATTCTAATCTATTTGTCAAAATGTTAATTTATAAGAAAATATTTTCATAATCGCATATAAATCATACATTTTTTAAAAACACATTTTATATTATAATATATATATATATATATATATAACAAAATGTAAAGAAACAAAATATGCTTCACATGTTATGTATTTAAACAGTTATTAATTTGTTTTATAAAATAATTTGTAATAGTATAAATTGAATCATCGGAAAGTAGGAAAACATTTAAAAAATTAAAATTTACGATAAATTATAAAAAACACGCTTTATTATAAAAAAAAATATAAATTCTATCGTAAAAAGACAACAATGTAACAGGAGAATAATAAAAAAACAAATAATTTTATATAAATTAATATACAAAAAAAAAAATAACTTTTTGTTTCATATTTTAAGATTGTAAATTTAACTTCAACTTTTTCAAGTTTTGATCACGTGGTTTTATTTACATTCGATAATTTAATTCATATATATATAGATACATATTCTTTAAAAATTTCACAAAATTGTAACGACACTATTTATTTCTTACTCTCTGTTTGTTTATTGGCATGAACAACATACAGTTTTGTTCACAAATTCACTTATATGTATTTCAACGATTTTGTTTTTAAATGAATAATAAATGAATAACTTAGAGAGTGTACTTTCCACGATTTCAAGTGAACTTTGTAACCTAACCTTACATTTCTAAAAAAATTTCAAAATTATGTTTTGTATATATTGAATATTTTTTAATTTCTCTAAAATTTTCTCTTAAATTTACTGAAAATATCTCTTACATATATTTTTTAAAAAAAGAGAATATATATTAATATTCTTCTATTCAATATAGATTTAAAATTAATTTCTAATATTTTTTTTTGTAAACCTGATAAATAAAATTTTTTTAATAAATTTTTTTATTATATGCTTGTTGTTTATTAATAAATATGGTCCTATTAAAAATATTGCATTCAATTAATATCAAAATTTAATTCATAGTACATATTTTTGAATTAATTTCAGTTTATTATTCAAATAGTATTATTCTTTAAAATATGAAAATAATAAAATATGAGAAAAGAATAAATGATTTCCTATCTTAAATATTTTGTATTCTTATACATAATGACAAATAATTCTATTATTTGATATATTTTTAACATTTGTGAATCTATAATGTGAATATACAATAAAAAATCATAAAATAATAGCAAATACAAAAATAACTGTATGGAAAAATTATAAAACTTTTTGATATATTTTAAGATAATAATAAAAAATAATTTCTATTAAGAGACATAATAGTTAAAAATTCTGATGAGTTACAAAAGCAATATATTTCATTGAATTATTTTCGTATTATATGATAATACATTATGCAAATATTTTTTTGAGATGAAAAAAATTTTTGTAATTAATTATTTCAATCAGATTTATTACAATAATAATGTGTATCGTTTGATTATCGTCTACCCCTTCCTCTTCCACGACCCCCTCGACCTCCTCTGGTACCACGACCTCCTCGACCTCGACCACGTACTGCTCCTAAAAATGATATAAACAAATTTTATTTAAGATATATTTTTTATTCAAAATCACTTTCCAAATAAATTATTTATTTTTTTATCAATATGTAAAACGTTTACAACTTATATTAATTACAATATAATATAAAATAATTTTATATATATATATATACATATATATATATATGTACAAACCTCGTGCAGCCTCTTTCTTTTTTGCTTTTGCTTTTGGTGTGTCATCTATGAGTAACGTTTCAAGTGGTAATGAGTCTGGTAATATATAATACCTTATATTATTGCCTCGTAAACTTAATGTATCTAATTGTACAGGATCCCTATTTTTTATTGTCATTTTTACAGTCTTCAAATGCGTATTCATTGCCACGTCTACTCCTACAAATGAACACATAAGTTTATATTTTAAGAAAAATATAAACACATAAATTTTTTATAGGTTATGCTGACTTACCGGTAATAGTACCATGTACTTGGGTACCATTCTTTAATTCTATCGTTACAGTCTCATGACTGAGTTTCATTAAAAATCTGAAATTTTATAGCAATTATTTTATACTTTATAAGAAAAAATTTTGACATCATATAATATAATATTAATCGCAATTTTTATAAATTTGATTAATTTTTCATAAAATTTTAATTTCATATAAATATTTATTATTTCTTAATAAATTATTATAAATAAATTAATTTACCTTACTAGTTTCATGATAATGTTGAATGTTTTTACGTTATCAAAAAATTACAATTTCAGTTTCATGCCGCGTTTTCTTACAAGTATACAAAACGCTATATATATTGTATATATATATATATCTGTGTTCCAAAACTCTTTCATTTTGTCTCATAAATCACATAAGTAATATTTTTATCATTATCTAAATAATTCTAGTTATATATCTCAAATAAAATTATTTATTTAGTAAAATAATTCGAGAATAATAATAAAAATAAAATATTTATTAAATAAATAAGAATAATAAATAATATAAAGAAAAAATTCATTTGATATATTTAAATATCATTACATAATACAAAAATAATATAATTTAATATTAAATAATATTTTTGATTACATACAATATTTTGATACATAATTTAAATAACAAAATTTAAATGTTAAATCATAAAATTATATAATGATAATATTTTGACAAAGTGAAATAACAAATTTTAAACTATTTGATGTTATTTGATATTTAGGTTAAAAAAGTGATAAAATCATTTTTCATGATATTTCTGATATTATTTTTGAACACGCTTGAAATAACAATAACATATTTAAAAAAGTATACTAATAAAGAAGAATTTTATAATTGAAAAAAAAAAATTTAAATATCTTATAATATTTTATCAAATCAAAAATATTGTTAATTTTAATAATTAAAAAAATAATTAAACAATTTATTATGTATATATATTATTGTCAAAAATAATAGCAGAAATAAAATAATAAATAATTAAAATAAATGATATTTTTTTACTTATTTTATTATGTGTAAATATAATATCTTTTAATTATTTCAAATTTATTTTTATTTTTTGTAATATTTTATACATATTTATAATAAGACAAAAGAATTAAATAAAAAATATATATTTAAAATCTGATCTTAGCAATTATAAATTAAATTACTGTACATGATTTACTTGCTTTTGCATTAATTAATTTTAAAATAGTTTTCATTCTTCCTTCTGATCCTACATCATATGTTTGTGGAAATAATGTTTCCTTAGGTCTGCTATATATATTTTGCAAACATTGTTCCCATTTAACTGGCGAGACAATTTGTTTCAATATATATTTTTTCACTGTTCGTAAATTACTATATGGCAAGCCTTTATAATTGGAATATACTTTACATCTAGGTTCATTTATTTTTATGGAATTTAACATTTTAAAAACTGATTTTATAGCAGGTTCCATCAATGGTGTATGAAAAGCTCCAGATACAGGTAATCTAGATACATTTTTTAAATTAAATTGTGTTTTATTTTTTTCAATATATTCTAATGCTTCTATATTTCCTGCTATTATTTTTCTTTCTGAACATAAAAAAATAGCAATTCTAAAAACAGTTAATTATATAATTAATATTAAATTATATATTATATATATAAGTTATATATAGTTATATATTAAATTATATAATTATTAAATATTAAATAATTTGAAAATATTACCTGCATATTGGTTTTTCAATACCTATGTTCATTGCCCACTTGTTTGCTTCTTCACAAACTTGTGAAATTTTTGTTTGTGGTGTACAAATGACAGATAACATTCCTTGAGGTACTTTATCTGCAGCACATTGCATAGCTTTTCCTCTAGTCCATACTAACCGTATTCCATCTTCAAAAGTTATTATACTAGAGACAATTAAAGCAGTTATCTCTCCTACACTATATCCAGCTGTAGCAACACAAGTTTCAAATACTTTAGGTTTTTCTACTTTAATTTTTTCTAGTGCGGCTAAAGATAATAATATTGTAGCAGCTTGATTAAATTCAGTTCTATTTAATTTCTCTTGTGGACCATCCAAACAAAGTTTCAATAAATTATAATTGATTATTTCATTGGCTATTTCAAAAAGTTCCTTAGTACCATAATAATTCAAGTACTTTTTAATCATACCAACTTTAATAATTCCTTGACCAGGAAATAATAAAACAGAAGTAGTTTTTGGATTAATACTTGGTTTTGTTTCTTTTTTTGGTGAAATATCCTTAGGATATGGACTTGTCATCCAATTTTTATCTTTAGCATCTTCAAATGTTGCAGCTTTTTCAAGTAAATGTAACACTTCTTGTTTCTTATATGAATTTTGCAAAGAGATTTTTTCAAATACATTTGTCTTTGGTTCACAATTATTATTCCCATCTTTTATTGAATTATTTGAAATCTGATTTATTCGATTTAACCAATAATATTTTGGTACATAAGGAAATATTTTTTTAAATAATAATTGCTGAAACATTCTAATTAATTTAAAATTTAATATGTATTAAATATTTACAAAATTATATATTTAAAAAATAAAAACTTCTATTGAAAATTAATTTTATCACAAAAAATATATAATATAAGATTTATAATCTATTAATAATTTATATATCATATAAAATATAATCATTTATTCCAATTAATAACTTTTTTAAACATATATATAAGGTTAAGTTATATTATTCATTATAGTTTATTATGAAATTTAAATGAATGATAACTTTATAATAAATAATAATAATAATAATAATAATAATAATAATAATAATAGCTTAATAATAAATAAATGATAAAAACTTATCTTGATGTTAACATTTTATTAGCCAATAGTTAAAATCTTAGCATCTATCATGTGATTTGATTTGTTTCCTTATGATTTAGTGAAAAAAATATATATATATAATTTAATAATATATAATATACATATATATATATGAGCAAAATGAATATATTTTAAGAATATTGAAGATATTTAAATAAAAATTAAAATTATTAATTTAATTTGTATTTATTATTGCTTTATTTAAAAATATTTGTATTATGTCATATTAATAAAGTCAAACTAAATTTAGTAATCAATTTAAGTTGTTAGCCCTGTTCACATTATAGTTTCGACAGTTTGTAATTGTATGAATTCTGCAGTATATAAATTGTGCAAGCAACAATAATTGTGACAACATATTTTGTTGTAGTACTTATTTTTAGTTTATTTTAAATAATTATTATAAAAATTAATGAATTTAAAAAAATTATTTAATGAATTTATACAAACTATAACGACACGTAACATTTATATGTTAGGAGTTGTTTAAGTTATCATGAACTAATTTCTAAAATACATCGTATAAGTAATTTCCACATGTTTTTTTTGTTTATCAAACTATTAAGTAATAAAACTTATAAATATTGACAATTGCATTTAATGTAGTTAGGAAATAAATCAAGATGAGTAAAAAACGTAATCGACAACCTGATGCAAATGGAGAATTAAGTGAAGGTTCAACTGATTCTTGTAACGAATCAAATACTACAGGTTAGAATTAATTTTTTTAAAATATTTTAATTTTAAGATTTTACTTATTTTTTTATATTAAAATTATATATTTTTTAAATAGTTAGATCATAATATTTTATGTTATTAATTTATATTTTAAAAAATATATTTAATCAATAAATTATAATACAATTAAATTTTGGAGTGATTTAATATAATAATAGTCAAATATTAAATTTATAATTAAATTATAACTAAATTATTAGTTATAAATTTAACATTAGTAGTTTATATAAATGATTTAATATCTACTTTTAGATCTTCATGAGAAATTCATTAGTTCATGTAATAAATTAAAAATTAATGATAAAAATTAAAAATATTTTAAATTAATTATACAAAATTATTAAAGAAATAAAAGAAAAAAAATAATTTTTTTTTATATAATTTTTTATTAAATTATTGATTTCTTTTTTATAATATTTATATTATAAGTGAAAATTATAAATGTTATTATTTATAGGTATTAAATGTCCTCATATTCCTAAGGCAGTGAATTTTAATAAAATTAAGAAATGTATTAATAAAATGGGAATTAGTATAGAATGTTCAATATGTAAAAAATGTAAGAATAATTCATCAAAAACTAATGAAAAGGTATAAATTCAAATAATTAAAATAAATTAGATTTTTAATTTAATTAAAAAAAATATTAAAAAGAAATATTATTCAGACAAAAATATTTTAGGAATGTGTAATGAATTCAGCAATATTAATTTGTTTACAATGTGGACATCAAGGTTGTGGAAGAGAAGAATGTGGACATGCTTTAGAACATTATAAAAAACCACATAGTGATTGTCACGTTATGGTTGTTGAGAGTCTTTATTGGAGTGTTTGGTGTTTTCAATGTGAAACAAAAGTTAATATTGGATGTAGGTACGTATATGTATGGATTTAAATTTTAAATTATATTTAAATATATAAAATACAAGATACAAAAAATAAAAACTGATATGAATAAATATGAAACTTTATATCCTATAATTTTTGTAATGATTATTACAAAAATTAATGTAATGATATTATAAAGATTCTGATTACAAAAATTAAAGAATTAATGTTAAATTTAATTATCAATACAATTAAAATATATTATGTTTCAAAGTGTAAATTATTAAATAACTAATTTAGATATTTATTTTACTTACTTCACATTTTAAGATTATTTTGAAAATTTCAATTATAATATTGAAAATAAAATAATAAAAATGTTTATTATAATTTAAAAATTAAATTAAATTAATCATTAAAAAATATTATATATGTATTTTCTTTGATTAAATTTTCAAATTAAATAGTAATTTATAATTTTTAGGAAGAAACTCCAAGAAACAGTGGAATTTATAAAAAGATCTACCACTTCTATTATTTCATCACAAACTAAAATGTCAGTATCTCAATATCAAAAAGAAACTAGAACTGATACAGATAAGCTAGAAAAAGAAAAAAATTTATATAATTTACCTAAAGTAGGGGTATGTTCAGTGATAATTATTTATTTTTTTTAATGAATTTATATGAAATAAATTAAATAGCTTTAAAATATAATATATTAATAAATATAAAAGAAATTAATATAAGTAATTAAAATATCCAAATTTATTTTAGGGTTTAATGAATTTAGGAAATACTTGTTTTTTTAATGCAGTTTTACAATGTTTGGCACAAACACCTTTCTTAGTAAAAGTTCTTGATGATTTGCGTCTTCCAGGACAAAAATTCATTTTACCAGGTGGCAAACATAAACTTTCTAATAACTCTGAAGAAACTGATTTAGTAAGTTAATTTTAAAAATATATATTATATATTATATATTATATATTATATAAAAAATAATTCTTATATTATATCAATTAAATTATTTAAAACTATAAAAATAAATAAATAATATTTCACTAAATTTCAATAAATTTTTAATTATATAGATAATTATATGATATGTATTTAAATTTAAATTTTATTATTATAGCCACCTATAGAAGGTACTTTGGAAGGTTGGGGCAGTTTTACCTCAATTTTATGCAAGACGCTTACGGAAATGCAAAACAGCGATGGTCGTCAATCTTATCGTCCATCAGAATTATTAAACTCATTTAAAAAAAAAACGATGCAATGTATGGATGGAGGACAACATGATTCGCATGAACTTCTTAGACATCTTCTGGAAATAGTACGAAACGAAGATCTCAGAGTAAATATACTTATTTTATTTAATTTTATATATAATATTTTTAGTTTTATGACATATATATGTATTAATATTTATATATATCATTATATCTTTATAAATATCATTTATTTATATTTATAATTTGTAAAATTTAATATTAATCTTTGTTTTAATCATTAATCAATTCAATAATGATCATTATTAGTAATATTTATTAATAAACACGAAAATTTTTTAGAGATATCAAAGTATAATTTTGAAACAAGTTGGTTTGAATGAGAAAACTAATCCTGAAGGAGTAGAAGAGAGCCTCAAATCTCGCGTAAAATTTTATGGAAATCAGGCCAATTCAAGACTACTTGGAGCAGAACTTGTTTTTCGTGGAGTTTTAGTTTCCACATTAGAATGTCTTGATTGTCATCATACTTCACAGAATACAGAACCCTTCTTAGATCTCAGTTTGCCAGTTATGGCAGATAAACCACAACCACCAATTTTAAAGTAAGAATCATTCTTGAAATATGAGAGAACAAAAAAGACATGAATATGTCATTTAATTTTATTATTTATGTTATATAATTTTATTTATAAAATATTTTATATATACTTTTAAAAGTTGAACTTCAAAAATTATATTTTATATTTTATAATACTCATTATAATTATAAAAGATAGATTTTTATTGATATTGTTAGGGATATTCACTTAAGCATGTTAATATGTTTTTATAATCAATATAGAATTTATTTTTATTATTAAATAATCAAAATGAATTTATATAATATTTAGATAAAATACTAATTAATGAAATAATATTTCTAACTGAATAATTTTATTACACATATATTTATTTAAGAAGGAAGAACAATGGATTTGAAGATACATTTGATATAATGGGAAATAATATTTCACATGTACCTTCGAAACATCAATTAAAAAAAGAAAAAAAAGCTGCTCGAAAAAATCGAAAAAGTAAAAAACAAGAAATTCGTCAAGATGATAATTTCATATCTAATAAGAATAACATTGCTGAAGAAAATAATCTTAAATCTGGTAAGTTGCTTAAAGATTTAAAAACATTATTTTGAATTATTTTTTGGAAATTATTATCTCATATTATTAATTCAAATATTTTATAAAAAGAATAGAACATTCAATAGAACGTTTATTTATAATTAATAAAGATGTTTATTTTTTTTATAGAAGAAAGTGATGCAGATGTAGAAGATAATGCAGAAATAGAAGGTCTGCTTCCAGAAGTTGGTGAATCAGGCTATAGTTCAGAAAAACAATCTACTTTAGCAAGTCCTGCTTCTCCATCGACTGATACAATGAAAACAAATGAAACCATAAGTGAAGTACCATTAGATAATTATTTACAACTTAATACTAAAGATAATATTTCTTTAGTACAACTTTTGAATCGTTTTGATACGAATTCATTGCCCAGGTATTATTAATTATTATTAATAAAATAATAGAATAAATTGATTTTATTAAATAAAATTATTAATTTAATAATTGTTTTATAGTCCAAATTCAGCAAATGCATGTACAACAAATTTATCACAAACAAAAGGTTTAGATACATTAGACAGTTCTGAAAGTTTTGAAAATGAAAGTGGAATTCAAACTGGATTTTCTTTGTCTACTTCTTTAGCAATGACCTCAGATTTAACAAGTCCAGATATTCCTTCGATTAATTTCAATTCGGTTATATCAAAAGAGAATACAAGTTCTACAATTATTTTAGCAAATGTTGATAAAAGTATAGAAAATACTAAATTGTCAACATTTAGCCTCGATTTAACGGAATCTATTAATCATATCGATCAAGAAGAATCTACTTATAATCAATGGTATCATTAAAATTTATTCTTTTTCAATTTTTAATATTTTTAATATTTAAATAGTATTAATATTTAATATTTTTAATATTTAAATAATCCTTTTTTTATTTTTAATATTTTATGAAATGATTTTATATAAAAAATAAAATATTTTTAATTTATTTTTTATGTTATATATTGCTATATTATATATTTTTAATTAAATTTAATTTAAAAAAGTCTGACAAAAATATAAAATATTTCATTATATATATATATGTCTGACAAAAATATAAAATATTTCATTATACATATATATATATATATTTATTTATTTATTTATTTAATTATTTATTTATTTATTTATTTAATTATTTATTTATTTAATTATTTATTTATTTATTTATTTATTTATTTATTTATTTATTTATTATATACTATTAACATATAATCAGATATATGCATGTTATAATTTATATATATTATATTATATTATTTTTTTTTTATTTTAAAAGATTATTATATTTTAATGTACAAACTTAATATATTTTTAAGTAGTATAATTATAAAATATATAATTTAACGATTTAATGCATTTATTTTGATAATAGGAAAACAAGAAGAAAAATAGAAGACTATTCAAATGACATTAGTAATGGAATCAATAATATCACTTCTGGAATTTCAAAAATAGGTATTGGTGGCAGTCTTCAACAGCCACCTACTAGATATCTAACTAAGGAAGGAGAATGCTCAATACAATCATGTTTAAATCAATTTACAGCTCTAGAATTGATGAGTGGTAGCAACAAAGTCAGTTGTGAAGCTTGTACTGCCAATGAAAAAAAGGTATTCTATATAATTAAAAATTTAAGAAAAATTATAAAAAAATTTTATTTTTTAAATTAATTTAAAAATTAATGTATATTTAATAACAAAATAATTAATAATATAAAATAGAAAAATAATATTTTAGAATTCTTTATATTATAATTTTGAAAATTCAAATATTGTGCATTAAATATTTAAATATATAAAAATAATTTAAAATATTTATATAAAAAAATTACAATGTTTTGAATCTAATAATAAAATGTTATAAATTATTCATATTATTAGATAAAACAGAATTGTAAAATGGTATGCACTCCAAGTACAAAGCAGTATTTGATCTCTCGCGTACCTGCGGTTCTGATCCTCCATTTAAAACGATTTCAAGCTCAACGAGTTGATTTTCGAAAAGTAACAAGACATGTTTCATTTCCAATACTACTCGATCTAGCACCTATATGTAAGAATCATAAAAAAGCTAGAATTTATGCACTGTATGGCGTTGTCGAACATAGCGGAACTATCCATGGTGGACATTATGTTGCTTACATAAAGGTAATTATTTAAATATGAAAAATTTATTTATAAAAAAATATATAAATATATATATAGAAATCTATTATATATATATATATATTCTAATTCTATATATATATATTAAAATTCTAATTATGACAATAGAAAATTTAAAAAATAGTTGTACTCTATATATATATTTTTAAATTTTCTATTGTCATAATTAGAATTTTCTCAATAAACTATATTTGATCCTTAGAATTGCTCATTTTATTACAATTGATTTAAAGATATGTATATTTTTATCCTCATCAAGACGATTTTGTGAATTTGCAATTATATTACTACTTGTTGAAGAGGATACTTAAAGTAAAAGAAAATAAATAATTAAAATCATTAAATATAAATATAAAAATGATTTCTAAAAAAATGATAAATTCTTTTTTAGTCACGTTTACCATTAACATCAGATGATCCTCGATGGTCATTTTTACCATCAAAAGATATTAAAAATACACAAGAAAATTCATATTCTTCAAGTTCTGAATCTGAAACTGAAGAAGCAGCTGCATCTCCATCATCTATAGTGGAACCACCACCTGGCAAATGGTATCATGTTTCGGATTCTAGGTATATATATTTATATTTTTAATATAAAATTATATATTATATTGTATTTTATATATAAGTATAAATATACCATATATCATTTATTTTACTTATATTATTAAATTATTTTTTTAATATTAAATATAATCTATTATTTAATTAGTTATAGTTATTATGTAGCTAATTTTGATTAAAAGTTTATTTCATTTTTTTAGAGTAACGGAAGTCGATGAAACAACAGTGTTACAAAGACAAGCTTATCTTCTTTTTTATGAAAGAATTCTTTGAGCATTTTGGTAATTAACTAAAATACAAGAAATTTGGATTTTGAAACAATGAAATAAATTAAATGAAAAATAATAGAATGGATTTTAAAATATAAACTATGATTATTTAAATTAATCAAGAATAATATTAAAACCTATTCTTGGTATTCGCGATTTTAAATTAATTTATTATTGACGTCAAATGGAAATTTATATCTATTTCGTTTTTCATTCTAACTAATCATATTGAAAAAGCATTATTTAGTTTCTTCTTATATTTAATTTGAGATATTATTATACTCATTATTTAGAATATAATTGTAAAATGTTAATTTTTTTCAAATATTAAAAGTATTTGTCTGCATTATTCTCTACAATAACAAATGATATTTTGTTTAATACTTCTGTTCCATAACAATTATAAGAATCTAATAGTATCAGATTATCAAAACAATTTTAAAATATTAAAATAGTTTAAATAAGAGAATAAAATTTATGTCTGAAATAAGTAAATAGAAAATTTTATATTACAAAATTTTATTAGAAATTAATATTTTAATCATTAAATAAATAAGACATTAAATAATAAATTCACTTTAATAGAATTGTTCTAGATGTTATTATAATTAATAAACTAAATGGAAAGATCCATATTACATTTTATATTTACCTTATAAAGCTTTCCTTTTTAAATTTAAAAATTAATATTATTTTATACTTTTAAACATCTATTTATAGATAAAGTATAAAACAATATATAAAAATAAAATAAATTTAAATTTATATAAAAAATAAAAAAGACTAATTAATAAATTATAATATTATATATATATATATATTATTATATATATTTATATATATAAGTATATTTTATATAATTAATGAAATTATGAAGATTATATTTTTATTTACATTATTACTTATTTTCTTTTAGAGAAATATAATTTAAATTATGTAGCTAGCTGATATTAAAATATAAATATTTATTTTAAATATAAAATTATTTACATTCATAAATTCTGATTTTATTGATAAATTATTACAAAATATTAATATTAGATATACAAAATATAAATTATATAATATAAATATTGCAAAATTGTGTATTTTATATTTTATATTAAAATACATATTGAATTAAAATAACAAAATATGTTTGTTCTTAAATGTTTTATTTTTTAAAAATGATCTTTTTCCACATGAGTCACTTTTATATATGATTTACTATTAATTTTTTTTTATATTTAATTGCTAAATATTATAAAGAAAAAACAATATTTAATATATGAAATACAAAAAAAAATATAATTATAATAAAAAAGGAGTATTTTTATTCAAAATAAATATACTTATTTATTTGAGAAATAAAAAATAATTAATAATGCATTATAAATAAAAAAACAATTTAACATATTATTTTAGACATCAATATTCCTATTATTTTTATTTAATTTAAAAATTCATTAAATTTATTTATTTTATTTTGACTTTCATGAAATTGTTATTTTATATTATATTTAAAATATTTACTATTATATAATAAATGATAGATTTAAAAAAATATTTAATTTATAAAATTTTATATTTTAAGAAAACTTAATTAATAACTTCAATTTCTGAAAATATATTTTTATAATGTATATATTCTAAATATTTTTAATGTTTTATATTATATTGAAAATTTTAATATTCTTCTTAATTGTTTTATCTTAATTTAATTTAAGAAATATATTAAAACTATAAATAAGTAGTATAATAAAAAATAAGTAATATAATATAATAAAATATATTATATATTAATATAACATAATATTTTATAATTTAAGATTGTTTTCTTAATCTTTACTCCTTGAAAAAATTTTAAAATATAATAAAAATTATGTTAATTATATTTGGATATATTTTTTTTGATATTTTTATGAATATTGTTATTAAATTGGATTAAAAGTGAAAAGTGAAAATGTATTTATAGAAGATAATATTTCATCATTTAGAATTCAGCTTATTTATATATTTTAAATAATTAAATTATAAAATTTAAAATATATTCAAGATAATGATACATATATAGTACATAAATAATTAATTTTACAAAATGTTTAATATTAAAAATTATGAGATATTTTTTCAATTATATATCCAAATTTAATTGTCAATGAAATACTTTTTATATATAAAATATTTATAATATTTTATATATAAAATAATATACAAAATAATTACACATAATTAAAGAAATATCTTAAATAAAATTTAGTAAGATTTATAAATATCATAAAATTGTATATATAGGTCATAAAAAAAAATTTCAAATTAAACAAAAATGCAACATTAATTTGTTATCACTTTTTTCATTTTTTATTAAATAAAGATATTTTAAAAATTAATTTTAAATTATGTTGTAAATTCATAATATAATTATAGTATACTATTAATTAAATATTTCAAATCAAAGTTATCTGTAATGACTACTTCTGTTATAAAATAAAAATAATTTAGACATTTAAAATATTATACATTTTTTTCCTCATTTTTTTATAATTTTTTTTTCAATGAATATTACAATATTTCAAATATTTTAAATCTTTTTATCTGTTATACTTTATATTTAATAAATATAAATTAAATAAACAAATAAAACGATCCTTATTTCTTATTGTGGATACATTTTCAAAATAGCAACACAGATTTCTATTGGATCTGTTTCAAATGGATGAATTAGCATAGCAGTTCTCACATGTTCTTCAGGAAAAATATTTGCTAAATGATAATGTATTTTTGTTCTGGTATCAAGGAATTCCCTTAATACATCTGATGGCATAGCCGAATATAAAGGAGATGTAACGACATTTAACTGAGGATCTGAAGCACCTAATCGTTGATTTGATCCAGATGGTAAAGACATATTTGAATTATTTGATAACCAAGCTTGATAAGAATCAGGTGCTGAAGCAATACGTGTTACATGCTGATGACATTGTCCTTCAGAACGTTCCCAACTGAACAATAAATATTTTTTAAATATAATATAATAATTTTTATTTAATTATGAATCATAATTCTAATTACTGATTTAATGTAAATAATTTCTTTCATTTATCATGTCTATTTAATAAAATGTAATATTTATTATATTTAAATCTTATATTAAAATCAATATTTTTAATGTAAAAACAATGAAAGGATAGAAGACTTACTTCAAACCAACTCTATACGCTGATTCATTACTAGAATGTCTAGTTAAAGCTCTATGCTGTACTGTAGATGTTATTTTAGTTTGTTGTGATAATGAATTTGTTTGAGATGCTTGCTGATATTGCCTCAACTGATGAAGTCGAGGATCGAAAACGGGATTCAAAGTCAATTGTCTCTGTAGCTTTTTATGTTTATTTTGAGATTCTCCTTCTAACTTATTCAATCTTCCTATTGACCAACCAGAAGAATGATAAGCTATTAAAAAAAATTATTATATATTATTCAATAACAATATATAAAAAAATACATAAAATAAAATGTAAAACATACAAAAAATCTTTTAATAAACACATCTTTAAGTAAAAAAATAGTATAAATTAATTTACCTTGAGAATTCATAGTAGAAGATACTTGTAATCCTTGTATTGAGGAATTTATTGGTTGATCAAGTGTGACATTTTCTGCAGATTTACTTTTTATAACTGGAGATAATGATTGAGTACTAGTTACTGTAGATTTGGTTTTACAAAGTGGTTGATGCTGAAATACATTTATTAATGTATTATTTGATAAAAAAATATTTAAATATTTAAATTTCTCTTACTTGAAGTTGTTTTTGTACATGTTCTACTAATTTTTCTGTGACCGACTTTTGAGGATGAGGGCCTCTTTCTGGATGGCGAAACTTACATTTATTTCCATATGTACATTTCTACAATTAAAAAAATTATTTTTTATTATACTTTATCATTAATAATAATTGTCATTTTTGATAAAGTTTTTAGTTATATAATTCATAATTAGTTATATAATTCTATGAATGGCAAATCGAAATGAACTTAGTGAGTTTCATAGACATAAAAAATGGACAAAATATGAAATTTCAATTTTAACAATTCATACATTCATAAAGATATAAATTTTCGTATATAATAGATGTTCATTTCAATTTTTTAATAATTTATATTTTTCGAAAGTATGAATTGTTTTGGAAATTTTATATTCTGAATCCATTATATATTTCTATAACACTCACAAAGTCTCACCTCAATTGAAATCAATCATTTCAATTTTTCAAACTTATTGAATTAATTATTATTTATTTAAATAATTTAATGAAACACACTTTTGCATATGGACAAGGTGGTGCTGGATCAGACTTTTTAGGAAAAATTCTCAAAAAATTATCTAAAGTTGGACCACTTCTACCCAATGGATCATCTGGTGGCATAAAACGATCATTTACAAAAGTATACATTAAAATTCTTTCTTCTATAACTTTTCGAAACTCTGGGTTTTCCTGTGCTAAATCTCTATAATTATCATTGCTAACAACAATGCCATCAATTTCTGCTGCAAGTTTCAAAATATAACGATCATCATAACAAACCATTCTTTTGCCACCAACTAATCTGCAATTAAAAATTATGAACTATATAATAATATTAATAATAATATTAATAATCAAAAGAATATGCATGCTAGATTATTTAAAATTCACATTAATAAATCATATTTGTATACAAACCTGGATGGAGTAAAAACTAATAAACGATCCCTTTCTAGTTCTCCTAAAATTTCTTGATCAGCAATTGGATTATCAATCCTAGAAGTTTCTTTTCTCCATTTAGGCACAAATACAGTAATTTCTTTATGCCCCCTTGATTTAAACCAATCTACACAAATTTTGATTCCTCTACAAGAAAATATTTCCTTGTTTCCATGACTCATTGCCACATTACTTCCATCGATTACAACGGATCTGAGACTACATCCACTATTTTCAGTAGTTGTTAAATCAGAATCTACAACACTATCGGATTCTTCTGGAGTATCAACTGATTTTTGAGAACAGCTAGCACCCAATTTTATCAATTCAGCTAAAAGTTCGTTTTGTTCTGGATCTGGACCCAATTTTTCCAGTGCAGTTTGAACTAAACGTTCTGTGTAACCAAGTTTTAAGGCAAATTCTACTCTAGCTGTGTATCCTAAAAAAATAAATATATTTAATATTTTTAATAGATTTGTTAATTTTCTATAAAATTAATATTAAATAATTTTTTAATGTAATCAAAGATATATTTAGATAGATTTTAACTCAGAAATTAAATTAAATTTTAAATGCTTTCTAAAATTATGAATAAAATAAG